ACCCCGACCGTAGAGGCACGCGTGCTTACGCTACTTGGCACAAATCAAAGAGATCCGTTTCTCTAGTCATTTGCCCGTCGAACGATCCAAACTCAGACGGACGGTTCGTCTTTTTAGGAAATCAATCACACACTCACTGACGTTTCGTGCTCCACAACGTAAATGCGCACTGACGATGTCACTTCGAGTGGTGACGAAATGTTCGCAGCCAAACTGCCGAGCTCAGCGAAAACTCAGACTACCAACTTAACGTACCTTGCTTCCCCGTTGTGAGTAGTATTGCATGAGATTCATTTTCACCTACACCCTGTTTGGAATATATTAGATGGGCTCTTACATGACTGCAAACACATTACCACGCCCATACTCTTGAATGTTGTTAACTGTTGTTTTGCTGACACCAAGACTTTATGCCGTCTTTTTATGGCTGCTGCTTTGAAGAAGATGTAGCAGATTCGTCTTCTTCGATGTCTACTCTTTAAGGTCTATTCTTTGGTCCACAATGATGCGATACGCGTACTATCCAATACAAACTCATTCAAATCACGTAGTGGATCCAAAATGTAGGGTGCTATTTACGGAACATGAAGTATACAGTAACAGGCCTTAATGGTTAACGCTCTCAGGTTACTGTCCAAATAGGACAGGAACAATAATAGAATCCCGCAAATGTTCCATTTCGTCATTTGTGAGTGTCAAATTGGTGCATACCCATCACACCACGGCCAACTGATCAATGCTCACGTGTCCCGCACTAAGTGTTCCGACTGTGCCGATCACGTACGGTAGAGAAAGATGTGTTGGAAGGGAGCGAATGGAATCAGGAAAAAATTAACAAACAACATAATCTAAGCATCGAAAGTGATAGTATCAGCATGAGAAGTTGTATTAAAGGCTAAGCGACGAAATGTAGGGCTTGTATCTGTTAACCCAGCCCATCCAGTCGATGATCAAACTTTCTTACCGTGGGTGCCAACAAAACTTCTTCAGGCAGGGCATTCAAAGCAGAAATTACTCTACATGATAACCTGCTGTTAGCCCCAACCCGATTAAATCCAGGCGTATAGAGCTTCCTCGGATAACCATGGAGGGTTGGCGATCTCGTTGATTGGGAAAAAATTGGGTTTAGTCCGGGCCAAGTTGACCCGTCAAAATGCGATAGCTGACGACAAGTCCAGCTATGCTACCGACAGTGCGACGAACAAACGCCCAATCTAAGCGTCCACTCTGGATAGGATATTGAGTCTTAAGCCATACACCATCTTTGTGCCTACCATCAAGACTTGCTCCACTGCCATCTTGTCCCGGATTAAGCAGGGATGACAAGCCTGTACTGAGTATTTTTGTTGAGGCCTGATAAACGCTTTATGCGTTCTAAAGAACATTTCACCTGTAAGTGTTCTGAATGACTGCCGAGTCATCTACCGCACTCTGAATCCGGCAACACGAGACCATAGGTGAACAATTGTTTTCGATGATTCCTCTTCAGACCATTACAGTCACATATAGGGGTAAGAGAAATAAACTCGACCCATTGACTCAAGGTACACAGTTCATTTGCGGTTCGTGTGGAAGGCTAGAAGCTGACCTTGCCCTAACAAGTCGACTGCATATTACCGAGTTTGATCCGTGGTACTTGACCTCAGCATCTTCCGTTTTCGCTGACCAGAGAAGCCGAAGAGCCTGGATCAACTTCTTTTGCGAGCACAAACAAGGTTGAAACAACCGGATACGAATCGCTTCAGCTGTCGCGAGTGCACGGGGTGAATACCTCTGGATTGAAACTGAGGGACCCTGTAAATTATTCTGAAGATCAATTTGGTGCCCAGTATCCAAAATATGGTTTCGTGCTTTCGAATTCTAACTGGGAATTTTCAAGTTGCTTAATCAATCTGAATTCATTACAGACGGCTTTTGTCCAAGTTTTTATAGACTTGAAATTCGATTACCGTGTGACCCCAAGTCAACCTGCTAGGTCACACGCGGCACCTCGCTTCCGCCTTATAACTAACCCGTAAATGGACCTATATTCCCACTGCATAAAGTCCAACACCGAGAGATTTATTGGCAGTTGCCACGACACGGAGTAGCCTCAGAGACTGTCAAGTCTAGGCAACAAATGACTCGGGATGGGTGATCGATGATCATTGTGGACGTAAACGTCAATGTCGCTACAATCCCAAAAGGTAACGAACTGATGTTTAACGGGTTAGCATAGTGCCGGCACTCGATGATAGACACGCAAACTCTTGATTTCGGTTTGTGCAGTGAGTGGACACATGTTCCAGATGGTTGGTATAACGCGTGCTTGTGTGAGGAAACATTTCACACAAAACCGTCAACCTTAATCTATGGACGGCGATCTGTAGGGGTAAACATCGATCCGCGTGAGCAGTAAAGGGCGGGACAATAATTCCCACGCAGACAAATAACTTGCTGTATCGTCAAACGTCTGCGGAGTCGTAAAGTGCAAGATTTTCGCACATTGCAAAATCCCGCCCCATACACATTATTATTTGAACAAATAATCGTTCGGCGACCGATGTACACGTTAAAGTAATCATGACTGTTATGGCCCAAAAAGTTTACGTACAAGTTAGTGTGGTGGTCAGGATATCGGTAGCTCTGTTTTAATAATAATGTATACTCTGTGGTTCACAAGACATGCCCTTTTCAACACAACCATTTTTTTAACAATTGTTTTGTATGATCTCCACCGGATGGTCCAAATGCTAGGCAGTAATGGGAATAACCTTTTTAACATTAATGGTTCTCCAGTTCCAAACCTGCCAATGGACATATTGTTCCTTCAATGAGGGATGACGAGCACTTGTGCGGTGATACGAGAAACATTGAAACCCAAACTCGGATGTATAGTATATAACATCTAGTTTTGACCAAAATGTGTTTATTTATTTATTTTCAGCACGTAGATGGAGACAAACAGAAGGGGAGCTTGATTTTTGTGTGTGAGACAGTCAGGATTGGCGCTGTTCAACCGGCTCCGGCATTTTGCTTTATCTTTGCGCTAAGTGTATGCGAGTAAGAGAATAAATGAAATAATATTATAAGCTTAATGGTTGGCAAAAAGCGTTCACATCACTGTGTTACTGAGTGGGTTCAAGCGACTACGCGCTGTAAACATTTGGTGCTGACCATCGATGATCGTGCTGCCTTGTTCACATCTTGTTGGAGAATTGTTCGCTCTACCTCTTGGTATGAGATTCCGATTGAAATGAGCTCGTTCCTCACCAGCTCCGAATCCCAGACGAAAATCAGTAGTCAAAGCTTAGAGGTAGAAAACGTGTTGTAGGAGCTGCTACCGAAAGGGTTACAAGTAGTGTGAAACAACAGGCATTTATGAGTCAACCAAGGGATGTTCATGTTCATGAACAGCCACGTCAGCTGTCCTGATTGGTAGATCAGTTCCGCTGGTCAGTGGGAAGGTAGGCGCGCACGTCGTATGGAAATGAACATTCCTGGAACGACTTGCTGTTTCGGTTGTACTACGTTGGTTCATCTCGTTTTACCGCCAAATAATGAGTTCTTTCGGGAAATTTTCCTCTGCCGGACGAGAACTTAGTGAGTAACTTCGAACTTCTCCATTTGTTGCTGTGGTGCCGTGGTATCGAATTCAAGGTTCCTTCGGACTTTAATCACCTTCAGTTGATCTGTTATCTTCACCTGATGCCACCTATTCATCTGCCTTGATGCGTTGTCTTTTGATTCCTCACATAGTTTCTTGGAACTGAAGTGGTCAGTTCAGTGGTATTTAAAATTAATATAAATTCACCAAAATATTTAGCCGAGTCCAGCCTTCTTGACTTCCCGAATCTCTGCGGTCCTCAGTCTTCAACATTAAGACTTCCTCACCACCGAAACATTTGCGCTCATACACTTGTTCCCTTACTCCTGGGGATTTTTTATATGTTATTTCTTATTCATCTCTGTTATTTTAACCTTACCATAATAACTTGGTCCATCCAACCCTTATCTTTGTCGGTAAACCGATCTAACTTGAACACCACATCTCAACTCGTTAGCTTAGACATTATCCAATGAAGTGACAGTCCACAGATTTTGTCTCATCGACAGCAGCACACTCGCATCGACAGTCGCATTGCTAATCCCTTAATATTGACCTTCCGATGGGTGCACTATTCATTAGAAAAGTGAGAAATCAGGCCGTGCAAGCCGAATGATGTGGGGAAGTGCAAGTAATGTGGTATTGCTGGAAATTATTCATGCGTAAACTAACCTTGACTACCTAACACAATTGCTAACCTGTCTTTAAAACTCAACTGTATCGGCGGTGATTCAAACGGACCTAAATTTGAAACACGAGTTTCCGAATAAGTTTCGCTAGGGTCTGGTGATATCTGCCTCACTGGGAAACACTACGCAGTATATGACATCATTTACTTTCCTAACTTGACCAATCTACTTTTGATCACACTTCCCATCGTTTGTTCGAAACCGATCGAGTTCGATTGGAATTTTTGTCGGTTCACATTTGGGTACTTTAGTAGACCTTTCTATGTACACAACACAACTAAGCTCTCACATGACACTTGCGCACATCATGTAGTCAGTTAACACATCCCGTTTCACAAACTACAATTCAGACCACTGTCCTGTGACGCACCGTTTTTAATATTACTCTGCGGTTTGTCTCAAGGCTAAACGTGTAGTCGATAAATTCTTGTTTTACTCCCCCACCGCGAAACAGTGCACTGGTTGTAGCGTACGCGACCACACCGTTCAAACATTTACCGTCATTACACTACTCATTTGGTACCTCCAGCTGCCCCTGTGTCACTGAATGAGGGTTAGAACGGTCCGTCGCCCTTTGAACTATCCAAACAAGGTCCAGACTGATGTCAGCGTTTGACATTGATGGCCAACAACACCACAAATCTGTTCCATGACCACTATTGATGTGTTTCGCCACGCAATAAGTCTCTCTAATTTTCCACTCTCATCCGTTCACTTGTTTTTAGACTGACGGAAGAAGTTGCTTCCGTGCAGGAGCTAATGGGGCGCTTGTTATTATGGCCTTCACGAATAGCTTATGAAAGCCTCTTGTCTGCCTATGCTGAACTTGGCGATCATTCTTCCCTGCTACGTATATTGAAAGAAGCATTGGAAGTCTTACCCGAATATACAGGGCATACTGTTGCTCGCACTGTCCCAGGGTCCTCACCGTTTTCATCACGGTTTCTTGTCAATTTGTATGTTCAATCGAACTGCTTTTCCACCGATTCTTTTCCGGTTTGCACGGAGGTAAGATCGTATACCTGCTCATATGCAGTTTAATTTTTCAAATGCGTATCACAGTCGCTGCGCAATAGAGTAGCATCGCGGCACCTTCACAACCCACTGCTTTGGACAGTCTTTGTGTACAAATCGATACCGTCATTATTAACATGCTGCTTTGATTCAATGCACTCACCCTGTCTAGGTCTGGGCGCCCTGGCAGTATCTCAGCCCACATACAACCATGACATCTTTTTCAAACATAAACTTCATCCTGCATCGGCCGTCGCGAAGATTATCAAGGGTCGCCTTATCTACTGCAAACAACAGGGCGGATAAGCGAAAACATGCTACTGTTGGCGCCTCCCTTCTTTCTTTTCCACCTTTTTTCTCTTACTCCCATCCCGACCCCCATTACTAGCCTCCCTTCTATAATTCCAAGCTTAATTAACAGCAACCAAGTGCCACTGGAGTAGAACCATCTGCAGCCACCATCCCACCACACCTATCGGACGCCTATCGGCAAAAGTCCCTTATAAGGCCACGCTGTCTCGTTTCCATGGCGACATTCAACGTCCGCACTCTAAGACAAACAGGTCAACAGGCTGCACTCGCACGCACCTTGGACACACTGGGTATTGATGTGTGTTGTGTGTCCGAAACTAGGATCAATGACCTTAACGGGGTTATTGAATAACCTTCAACTGGCTTATCCTCTCGTTATTGGTTGCACGCATCCGGAGACGCCGATGCAGCACTCACGGTTCAAGCTGGTGTAGGTATCATTCTAAGCTCCAACGCCGTGCCATCGTTGGTTGATTGGATTCCGGTGAACAGCGGTTCTTGTGCAGCCCGTTTGACGATATCAGCTAAGGTTGATTCACGAAGTAGTACAAAACGCTGTTTGTTTGTGATTTCCGCTTATGCTCCCACCGACTACAGTTCTAATGCAGTCAAGGACACTTTCTATCACGAACTGAACACGCTGCTACGCAGTGCTACTAGTTCAGATATTATAGTACTTGCAGGGGATATGAACGCACAAGTAGGGCGTCTGAGCACTTCAGAAGCTCAGCTGGGTGGTAATTATGGGCTTAACCCCGAACTGACTGACAACGGCTAGCGTCTGCTGCAATTGTGTGCAGAGCACCAGTTGTTTCTTAGTAGCACTGCTTTTAGACACAGTGGGCGCCGAAATGCTACTTGGCGTCCTCCTGTAGCTGGCCAGCGATGGACCCAAAGTGACCACATAGCCATAAGTTACAGGTGGCGTGGTTTTATTCTGGATTGCCGCTCGTACTGGAGTACCTGTGTCGACTCTGATCATGCCTTGGTACGTTGTCGTTTCTCCATGAACTTTACCGGGAGGCGCACCAAGCGTCCCCTACGATTGGCAACGGAGAAATCGTCTCAGCCCTAGGTCAGACAAACTTATCAAGACGCGCTGCATACCGAACTTTCGCTGTCTTGTCCTAATGACACTGAGCTTCAGTGGAATAGAATCTCGGCCGCCATGCACGACGCAGGAGCATCTGCTTGTGGTACTTGCATTGGTCACCGCACCAGTCACTGGATATCCCAGAGGTCGGTGAACCTGTTGGAATCTAGAAGGCACCTCCCGACTGGCTCTGAACACAATGTGACCAGACGGGCTATTAGGCGTGAACTAAAGCGGAGCCTACGTGCTGACATGGAAGCCTGGTGGACCAGTAGGGCTCAAGAAATGGAGGAGGCAAGAGCAGTATGGAATTACCGCAAGCTCTTCCAGCTGATCCGCACCACTGGTCCCAGAAAACCAGGCGTCAGTGAGACAATCAGATACAGCGCGGGTGCGCTGATACACAATAAGGAGCGCCGTATTTATCGTTGGGCGGACCACTTTCAAGATCAGTTCAGCTGGCCCCCTGCTCCCGGACCTCTTCATACTCAGATGATGCAGGACGAGCCATGGACGGTTAATTTAGAGCCTTGGTTTGAGGCCGAGGTCCGAAACATGATCACAGCCCTTAATTGTTATCGTGCCGTTGACCTGGATTCCCTCCCATCTGCAATATTTAAGGATGGAGGTGAGGTCCCCTGCAAAGCACTGCATACCGCAGCACACGCATACCACAGACCGACAATAGCTGTGTTCCTCGATTTCAAGAGTGCGTTCGATTCCGTCGATCGATCGATTCTTTTCGAAATACTTGCGCGGAAAGGTGTTACCACGAAGTAGATGAACATCCTACGTGCTCTATACTCGTACACTACAGGCCGCGTCAGGGTGTATGGTGTTCCATCGGATAGCTTTCCAATCACAAGTGGCGTTCGTCTGGGTCGTCCGATTTCCCCATTTTTGTTCAATTTCGTCGTGTATTCTGTCATGGAATGTTTCCTTGCGGAATCTCACGATGTAAGCGTTGAAGTACTGCCTGGTGAAAGGTTAGTTGATCTGGATTATGCGGACGATATCGTCTTGCTTTTCGACGATTTTGCGGCGGCACAATCAACCCTGAATAGCCTGTCCAGAGTGGTCTCATTATTTGATATTCACTTCGCACCTTCAAAGTGCAGTGTTGTTGCAGTACCATCAGCCACTTGCTGACCCCTTTACGCTTGCTAACGAGGAACTCGAGGTGGTTGATCATTTCACTTATCTTGGCAGCTGCATCAGCAACGATGGGCGCACAGAAACTGGCGTCAACTCACGCATTGCAAAGGCCAGAGCTGTCTTCTTGAACCTGTGGCATCTTTGGCGACAGAAGGGAATTTCCTTTCGTCTGACAGGCCGTGTATACAAGGCCACAGTGAGGGCCGTTCTGCTCTATGATAGTGAGACTTGGCCCTTTCGTTCTGATGATCTGAGACGCCTTCAAATCTTTGATCATCGTTGTCTGCGAAGCATTGCTGGAGTCGGATGGCACCAGCGTGTCCGCAACGATGATGTGCGTAGGCGAGTACTAGGTGGTGATAATCATGCTAGCTCCCTAGGACAACAGATAGCAGTGAATAAGTTGCGTTGGCTCGGGCACGTGCTACATATGCCTGGTCACCGCTTACCTAGGGGGGACTTGTTTAGTCTGCTAGGTGTAGGGTGGCGCAAGGCTCGCGTTGGACGGAAGTTGACTTGGCAGCGGGAAATGAAGTCACTGACGACCAAACTGGGTGCCGTTGATCCGTCTCGCCTTCCGGGCTGGAGTGCACGTGACTCGCCTTGTGCTTGGCTCGAGACTTTACAGGACATGGCTGGTAACCGACACCAGTGACGCGTCTGCTGCCGTCTCCTAATTGGATTGCCTGTTTAAAGCGTGTTTGGTGCTGATTTATCTGCGGGGATAAGGTCTGATTATGACGCGTGGCAGTGAAAGCAGCAAGGAAACTGCCTCGCTGATGCCGCCTTATCTTTGCACGATAGATAGCTGTTTGCAACGTCATGTCTACACAAAGTGTAGGCGTCTTGACCCAGAATGTTTGCTTAGGGCATTAAGGTTTTCATGTAAGTCCCCTTCTCTCCCTCTTCTTATTCTTTATTTCATAGGTCATCATTGTTGTATGGCAGCGAAGCATCAGTACAAATGGCTGATGTACTGCTGTTGATGATGATGCTGATACACTCAAGACACTCGAAGATGATTCTGCTGCTTGATAACACAATGAGGCGAGTTATCCACGGTGATCGTTATGTACTCCAAACACATGTTCTCTACGACAGCACTTTCATCTTGCTAACGAAGTGGATTCCCCCAAAACATTCGCTGTCGTTGGAATATACTGTAGGGCTGCCGAAACTGTTTTCGTACAACTTTCATGGCGCCACTTTCTAATCAGACCTCTTCTGTGCACCACTCAATACTACGGTTTAAACAAGCTGTGTCTTAGAACCTGACAACAAAAGATGCTGCGGTCGAGTACGCATCACGCGTTTCTTGGTCCATAACCAAACGCAAAGTGGATCACGCGGATTTCCCACCATGGTATGCTATAGCGGAAATAGATTTCAACTCCTTTCCTGATTCCAATCTTCATCTTACTCGGGTGGCTCGAGTGGTTTAACTGCTTCATCTGAAGCTGGTACCCAATTACCGAGGTTTGGCGAAAGACTTTGGTGTTTCTCTGGGCTTTCTGTTGAATCTAATCCTCTTGTATTGGTTTGGTCAGGCTATCTATATTCCTGCTGATTGTGTCTCGGTGTGCATTTTTGTCCATTTCTCCGTCTTATTACGTTGAACTGCGTTGTGGCCAGCTGATTGCGTGGCAGTCCAGATCGGTTATTGTCGAATTTTGCAGACATAACTGAGCCTTGAATTCATCGATGCTCCTACAATCGATGTTTTACCTACTTTTTGGTAGTATGGTCCAAATGATTTTTTTGCATTTTTTTACCGCACTGTAATTGCTTATCGCGACGTCGCGAGTCATGACTGCTTCGTAAACTACACTTCATCCATCGACTTATTGTTGCGCAACTGAGCTTCGGTTACTACGTCTCACTACTCTCTTTACTTTTTCGTGTCTACCCGTTAAAGCTACTGACTCAGCTTCCATCCCCTCCGGACGTGCTCACACGTCGTTGCGTACGTGGAGGCGTGAAACAGCTTTTGGCTCACGGACAGTTAAACGCCGCACTCGATTTGTTCGCTTATGGGGAGCCGAAGAACCTTGACGACCCATACCTTATTTCCCTCTGGAGATACGCCGTGGCTGGTGGATTAGTAAGTGTTTGCCTACGTCATTTTACTTCACTCCCTCTGTTCGTATTAACGCATGTTGTAGCTGAATTATCAAGGTTTTTGGCTGGGTCTCTTGTTTTTCCTGTCCACTTTGCCCAATGTTCTCTGTTCTCCTACTGTCTCATGAATTACGTCTGTGGTAACACTGAGAGACGTGTACTTGCCGTATCTGTTCTATAACGCAATTGTTTCGCTTTTTACGCCGATCAGTTCTCACTTTTACTCTGTTTATGTCTCATCGTTTAGCACTTTGCGCGGCTTCGCACACGTTTTGTGAGCCGTCGTTTAATTGAACGGCAACGTGGTCTGCTTTCGTTCATCGATGATCAACTTCTATAAGGTATTCTATAGAAACCGGGAATGCAGTGTTGAAAGCTTCTAGGTTAAGCTATTCAATAAAGGTGCTCAAGCGTATTGTTACTTTCGGGGTTTTGGAGCACATGCTTTGTCTTGGATTACAACATTCAATCCCAATTGTCGCTTCGGTTGATTTTGAAGTCAACCTCATCTATCTGAGAACAATGATTTCGGTGTTGCGAGAGAGCAACACCGATGAGACGTATATTCTCTTGTACCCATTGCTTTTCCCTGGTCATTTGTGACTACAGCAGAGTTGCCTTCTTCATTCACGTCTTCGTTACGTGGTTTCGTTCTCGCGTTCATTGGAATCGCGTGATCTTTTGCTACTCACCTATAAGCTGCTCGGATTATTTCACTGTGCAAATAACTGTAGACGTTTTGCGGTCACCGTGTTATATCGGTTTCCGTTCCACTCGTTCGCCAATGTGTGATGATGCATTTGGATTTTGCTAACTGAATGTTCCAACTTGTATTCCTCGATGCCAAACGTGTTTCCTCTAATTTTTCCTCTATTTGTATGTCCATTTTTTCAGTTTTACTCATGTCTGATGGTGAAATTAGCAACAAAATTCTACGCATAACGCATTCCGTCAGCGCTAGTTTGCACACCTCTGGCTGAATGTAATATTGGATCCTGCAATGGCTCTGATGAAAGAAACGTATTCACAGATACATGTTCCGAACCCGTCATATGGTGCAAATATCCTGAACATACAGCTGTATTTATGTGCTAATCTAGCTGTTGAGGGAGACGAATTATGGAAATCTTTCAAGCCTGGTTCCATGGTAGTTGCCTCGAGAAAAGTCGGACTAACCTGGCTCAAAGCTTATTAGTCAGGAGCCAGCCAGTGAGAGTGTGTTTCTTTTACATGCCTGTAATGACAGTGCTTTTGGCTTGGCCCTAGTTAACAACAGTGTTCACCAGGTTTCTCGTCCTACTGTCATTTCTCTTAAACTATATACACTTGCTGAGATTGATGTTGCATTTATTGTGCGCTTTCACTGCAGTTGACCTAGAGAGACTTCCGCTTCTTCCGCAGTACACTAGATTTCACGATGAAAAGATGGGTGTCGCGCAAATACTGGAGAGTGAGCATAGAAAACGAGAAGATAAAAATATGTGTTGCTCCATAATAGGTGGATCGGGCACATACGCGGAATCACGTCGCTGATTCCTGCACGGTGGTAGCATATGGCAGATGCACTACATCTTATCCGGATGTGATACGCTAACTAGACCCGTAGTCTGCAAAATGGGCGGCAACGAATCTCTTAAGATCCTGCACCGTTTTTGCCTCGACTAGCGTCTCCGACAATTTGCTCCACTATTTCACCACTCGACACTGGAAGCATAGCGGATAGGTGATGCGCTTTAAATCCGGTACCACTATTTTGTACCTGTGTCCGCGTGTGCTGCTTGGTACGCGAACGTGCAGCAGCCGCTTTAACGTAGAGAAGTGGCCCAGGTGCGTCATAATGTGATCAACCCGAATCCGACGATATGACAGGGTATACAGCCGTAGTCTCTTACATTGGTGCTCGTACGACATACCTCGTAAACTGGGGATGAGTCGGGTAGCTGCATGTTGGACCCGTTCCAGTCGCAGCACCTCACCTATTTTGTTGATATCATTTCGTGCTCTCTGATCACATGCAAACGAGCAACGTACTAAACGGACACTGAGGAAAAGAATCAATAATTTGAATGCTGACAGAAAATGTAGGTAGGCACAAAACGTCAAAGACTACAACAGAATGAGAAATGTTGAAGCAAGCATCACGGTCCTCACGGAATCCTCAGTGTGACAGCCAACTGTTTTTGTACACAGAGGTTAGGAAGATTGCGATTGATGGCCACAGCCTCGGCGAACTTGAGCATTTTGATGTTGGTGTTGCGACAGATGGCCGTAAACGCTACGTCCGAGTTAACTTGATGTCCCCTACTTTATAAGTACTTTGCAATCGATAAGGCTGCCATTTTCAGACTTCACTCCTGTCCTCGTGTTTGACCTTTCGTAATGTCACCAACCCATTTTGGAATATGCTCTCCGCTCCGATTACGTAGACGTTGATCTGTTCTGCTGATGTGCCAGTGGCGGTGCTGTACCCTATCGGGCGCGTTCCCAGGTTGCGGATCGGTGAATGCCTTCCTTCTGAAGGTAACTGCGAATAAGTCTCGTCTGCTTTGCAGGCGAGATGAATAAGCAGTTGCGGACAATCAGCGGCAACCTCTCAAAGCGTGGAGAGTTCTGGGCTGGTCACCTGGTTTCCCCTTAAATACCACATGTTCTCGTACGGCGCTGTGTCAAACCCAATGTAACCGACTATGCGGTCACTGGCCACTCACTTCTGTAACTGGGGCTGAGTATCTAACGGTGGGCGGAAGCCAAACCACGCTGACCTCCGGCTTCTCTGTGGACTGCTTCCGAACCCAACAAATACGAATGAGGCATCTGGCTATCAACTGTTTTCGTGAATCATCTCGCTGCCTTGCGGGTCAGGTCTTTAAGAACAAAGTTTCCGAGTAGGGTCCCTTAAGTCAACCTTCTTCCTCGGCCTGGGCAATCCGGAAGCTCAGTGCCCACGCAACACATGGAACTTTCCATCCATTCATCCGACTCCCCCTTTTCCTCCACTTTTGTTATTGTTCCTCTTGTTGTGGCACTCTGTCAAATGTTTTTTGGGAGTGTTATATATATATATATATATATATATATATATATATATATGGTTGGGGACCTACTGTTTCAGATTTGCCTGTCACTGTGGTCAGCCACAGGACGCCTGCGCCTACAGTGGGATCATGAGTGGCTTACGCTGCACCACCCAGTGCTTCATCCACACACCCCATATCCAGTGTAAACCCGAAGGAATAAGACCGGGAGGCATGCGGATGGGAGCCACGTTTCTTCAACGGAGCCGGCCCACACTCCTTCACAGGCAAACACAAGCACGCTGTATTTGGGGAATCAAGTGCACACAAGGCGGTGGCTGGACCGTAGTCCGCTCCACACTGATTGCATGGAATCACTCTTAGAGCCTAGCACGACCACAAGGACCGTGCACCCTGTCCCCTCCAGCAACGACCAACTGTCTCCTGGAGCCAGTATGGACGAGGTAGTGGGTAATAGACAGGTAGGCACCTTGTCAACATGCACATCAAGCGCAGCCACACCGGGGATATCAAACAACAGGTAATCACTTGAAATGACATTATCAAATAAAATATATCTGTTTAAGAATACGGCTTCACCGACATAACTCTTCGATAAATTATCATATGAATTAAGGTAATTATCAAGGAATCCGCGATAAGTACAAAATGTCCACCAGTCACCCAAAAATACTACAAACACAATAAAGTTAACGAAGGTAATCACAATTAGCGTAAGCAACGTGGTCAATTAGTAGCAAATTATTCAGGTAGGCAGAACAAACCAAATAAAGTGGAAGAAAATTTACCCGGCTTAAAAAGACCTAGTGTAAGTTGGTTTAGCCCAGCTGCGGTGAAGAAGCATCATGAATGCAACATCAGCCTCAGCATGGGGCATATATATATATATATATATATATATATATATATATATATATATGCTGATGTGACTGCCTTCGCAGCTACAGCTAAAGCGCTGGTGGAGGTCGGCTGGGTAAGCTTGGCCGGAAGCGTTAGTAACTTCATGGTTGTCCAAGGACACCAGTATTATTACTATTTATGCCTATTTCTGTTAACCGGCCCCATATTTCCCTTGTAATTTGCTCCTTTTTTCTTTGGTTTTGTTGCTAAATCGTTTATATCCCCTGGCTTACACTACATGAGATTTAATACCTTTTGGTATTTGCTCTGTTCGTTCGTACTGCCGCCCATCTACTGTCCAGTTTACTTGTGTATTTTCCCTCATGTTATGTTTACTGTTTGATGCCCCCGTGCGGCTGTGCTTGATGTGCAATTGACAAAGTGTGTACTTGTCAAGAAATCACTGCCTCGATTATATTAGCATAAGGAGGCAATTGGTAGTTGCTGGGTGGGACGGGGTGCAAGGTTTTTGTGACCGTGCCAGGTTCGAAAAATGGTTCCATCCAGTGTGGAGCGGGATACGGCCCAGCCACCTCCTTGTGTACGTCTGGTACGCATTATTCCCTACGTAGATAGACAGGAATGCTACTGCTGTGCATGCTGAGTGTGAGCTGTCTCCCCGTTTTAGAAACTTGGCTCCCATCCACATACCTCTCGGTCTTATTCTTTTGAGGTCTATACTGCGTGTGGGCTGTGCGGATGGAGTTATGGGTGGTGTAACATAAGCCACCTATTGTCCCTCAGTACGCACAGGCGTCCTGTGGCTTTCCTATGGAGGCCGCAATGACAGGCAAATCCGTAATCGGATGCCATCAATCATATAATCCGATCCATTTCGTGTATCAGAAACGCTGCGTTTCCAACTCGTTTGTATGTCTTTTTCTGAGGCTCTGTCTTCTGATTCGAAAGGTGACAAGCTTGCTTCCATAAACTGTATTGGTTATCTGTGCTGTCACTGGTGACAAATTAATGGGTACCTTCAATAGCGGATGAGGTTGGAGTAGCTACAGTCATTGCAGTCACCGCACTAGCCAGCCCATCTGCAGCTGTGTGAATGCACTGCGTGAATGTTCGGATTTCCCTACGTATTATTATCCACGCATTGCATTTCCTTGTACAGGTAACCTCTTGCACTTTTCTCGTCTTCTACTTCATTCTTGGCTGCCGGATCACTGCTGGTATCCAGGAGTTCTCGTGCCGATTTCCAACTAATTGTTTTATCGACAAGCATGGTTTGGCATCCATAGCCAGTGCGGGAGATGCGACTACATATTCAGCTGCATTTGTTGATCATAGATACAAAACATAAAACCTACAAACCTGCACAGCTAAATAGGCATCTATGCCTGTCGTGGATGCATATAGGCTGGTGCCAAGTGAAACAAATGATACCCCATTGGCGACAGTGTTCAAAGATATGGAATACTTCTGTTCCGATGGTCTTACAGGTGAAAAACCCTGTGTGTGGCTCTGTGGACACAAACAAAAATCCATGGTTCATCTCTTTTGGGGCTGTTCATCAGTTGGACCGACGGTGATTGTATGATCATGGTGATTATTATAGCTGAGAAATGTTTCATATTAGGCCGATTCTTGTTCACGAGGAATGAGTTACTTACTCCTAGGGCACTGGGTTTTTCGAAGGTCCGTTTGTATCTTATGGCTTGTGGTTCTAGACACCTTCGGCAAAATCATACGTGACGCGAATACTGAGCACGCCGGCGCAAGCACTGCTTCTCTTTTTTCTATTTGTCGTGATGGTAGAAGAAAAAGATGATTATATCAACGGCACTACGACGCACCGTTCTGACGCTTTTTTACCGCGCGACCACCACCGGGAGCGCATGAGCTCTGTATACCACGTGGTCTCCCGCACGTTCGCTGATTCGAACCAGTAACCGGATTATAAAACAAGCGCGTACGTGCTCTATACTCGACCACTGCAGGCCACACCAGAGTCTCCGGCAACCTGTCGGATAGCTTTCCGACAAGTGGCGTTTGTTAAGGTTGTCCGATTTCCCCGTTTTTGTTCAGTTTCCACGTGAAATCATCATGGAGTGTTCCCTTGCGAAATCTGACGATGCAGGCGTTGAGGTCTTGCCTGGTGAAAGGTTAGTTGATTTTGATTATCCGGGCGATATCGCCTTGCTTTTTGGCGATGTTGGGGCGGCCCAGTCAACCCTAAATAGCCTCTAGAGTGGTCCCATTATTTGGTATTTGTTTCGCACCTTCAAAGTGTTGCTGCGGCACCACCAGCGACTTGATGACCACTTGGCCTTTGATAATCAGGAACTCGAGTCGGTTGATAGATACCATTACCCTGGCAGCTGCATCAATAATGACGGGCACATAGAAACTGGAGTAAGTTCACGCATTGCAAAAGGCGGAACTGCCTTAAACCTGCGGCATCTTTAACGACAGAAAGGCCGTGTATCCAAGGCCACAGTGAGGGCCGTTCTGCTATATGGGAGTGTGCCTTGGCCCCTTCGGTCCGATGATCTGAGGCGCCTTCAAGTCTTTGATCATCGCTGTCTGTGGAGCATGCTGTTGTCCGATGGCACGGGCGTGTCCGCGATGATTATGTGCGTGGGCGTGTACTAAGTTGTGATAAGCAAGCTAGTTCCTTAGAACAACAGATAGTACTGAATAAGTTGCATTGGCTTAGTCACCTGCTACATATGCCTGGTCATCATTTAGCTAAGAGGGCCTTGTTTAGTCTGTCAGATGTAGGGTGGCGCAAGGCTCGAGGTGGACAGAAGTTGACTGGCAGCGGGAAATGAAGTCACTGACGGTCAAACTCTGTGCCGTCGGTGCGTCTCGCCTTCCGGACTGGAGCCCACGTGGACCGCTTTGTGTGTGGCTCGAGACTTTACAGAACATAGCTCGCATTCGCCACCAGTCTCGCGGCTACTGTCGTCTCGTAGTCGGACTGTCTGTTTATGGGATGTTCGTTGCTGAGTTATCTGCGGCTTAATATCTATGACGCGGGGTAGTAAAAGCCGCATGGGAGCTGTCTCGCTGATGCCGCCTTATCTTTGCACGATAGCTAGCTGTTTGTGACGGTATGTTGTTAACTCAAGGTGTATATGCATTGACACTGAATGTTTGTTTAAGGCATTAAGGTTTTTTGGTAATTCTCTCTTCTTTTCCTTTTATTATTCTTTAGGTCGTTTTGGTTGTACAGCAAGGAATTATCAGTTCAAATGGCTGACGTACTGCTGTTGTTGATTTGTTTGTCGATGCATACTCCATTTTACCACCAGCCGACGGTGTCACTAGGTAGACTCAACTTGGGCGCAGCTGGTGTAATGTGCCGTTTACCACTAGCTTTACTCTGCTGTTCTCATGTACCATCATCGGCGCTCATACCTTATTACTCCATAGTTACGCCTATACCCCGTTGTTGCTTCCTTGACTGAATTCTAAACTATGAAAGACATTTTTCCTTCCTCTGTCTCACACTGAAGATTTTGACTCAGTTTGTCTACCTATTAACGGTAGCATTATTGAATCTACGGGCACTGAGAGTACTTGGAAATTGGCACGCAGTTTGACTCGACGAACGTGCCATCGCCCTCCGTCAGCGTCCCGCATCCAAAAGGTTTACTTACCCCATTGCAATGTACCGGTCTTTCTGTGTCATCCAGATGCATGCACTGTCTTATTCACCACGCGTCCTACTTGCGGCATGATTGTGTCGGTTCATTCTGAACCTTGTGACATTTCATCGTTTTGGGATGCATATATCCGTTCGGCCTTTACTTCCTCTCTTATGCAGCACATTTTCACTTATCATATACAGTGATTAATTCATATCCTTCATGTACATACAAATTATTCTAATGTGTTTCGATTGATGTCCTCTTTCATCCACGATCAGGGGTCACACGAGTTTGATCAAGCTGTTTACTCCGTTTGACGCTTATTTTTTTATTGCGTCTTCTAAGTTTATTTTTATTTTTGCAGGGTCCCGATGCTGTTGAAGACTTTTGGAAATTAGCCAACGTATCGGGTGCGCGTTTGAGCGCTCTCCGGAGACACAGTGCGTTTGATGAGTTGTTTACTTGTTCCACATCATTGTACATCCATCCACACATTTTGATCTGTTTGTTTTCATGCACTCCGCGGTCTGTTTGTTGCGATGAATTGAATGTTACGATAAATTAGTTGATGTCATTCTTCTTACTTTCGAAAATCACTTCTTGTTCCTGAGTCCTGCTTTACAGCCATTTTTCTAGTGATTCCTTTCCTTTTTCGTCGTCGCACTTTCCTTTTCGATGGCAACAATTACTGTAGTCGTTTCACACCCTTGGAGAGATACGCTAATGAAAGAGGAGATCTACAGCGGAAGTGGTGGCAAACTTCACAAGCTGAAGTCAATGAGGCCATGCAGCACTGATTCACGCAAATGAGGACAGCTAACGCGCGAATTTTCTGGGCCGATTTTACAAGGAAATGCTAAAAGGATCTCACAAGAATTTAGGGTTGCAGTTTTCTAAGCATCCAATGATTGGTTAGAGAAATATAAACTCTGACATGAAACTTTCCAACTAGTTTTGCGTGGTGAACCCAATGACGTGCCTGAAGAGTTTGTTGAAGACTTCACCGAAAAAATTTCCAACTTCAGCAATGATGGCATTTTTAACGCTGACGAGTGCGGTCCCTTTTTCAAGACACTGTCTAACAGAAGCCCTGTTATAAAGGGTGATAAATATAAGAGTGGAAACCATCCAGAGAATGTTTCACAGTTCTTGAATTATCCCCATTTGAGTCAGAAGTAAGCAAATGCGCGAAGAATATTCTTTTCGATAATTCTCATCGGGCGTATACAATTATGAAGCAAAATATTGGAGGGAATAAACCTCGTAGTGGCTTGTACAGAAAGCAACCAACTCATTAACCAGGCAGTATGAAAATTAAATCAATGGTTTGATCAATCAGACTGTCGCATTAGGAAGCAGGTGATCAAGGCAAGTCATATGTCAAGACCAAGGCAATTTCAGAGCCTGTAGCAATGTGCGCCGTTTGCACAGCTCTGTACCCAACCTTGATTACAATTGCTTCAGAAATGGTTAACAGATGTTTCTTAAGCTGTTTCGGGTAGTGTTTAGCGATGGTATAAAATACTGGTTCATTTGGACTTGATGTCCAGTGTCAACCAAGTGTTGTAAAACGGAACTGTTGATGGATTTTACAGTACCTTTTCGTAGTGACGCAGGACAAAGTTTGGCGATTCTTTTGGACAAACACCTGATCGTTTGTCCAAGATACCTAGCACCACAGGTGCAGGTGAACTGGTATAAGACACATGATTAGGACCGAACCGGGAGTTTATCCTTTAAGCGCTGAATTTAAAACTACTTGCCGAAACAAGACCATTGATTCTTCAGCGCTTAAAAGATAAACTCCCGGTGGATTTTGAACAAACATTTCATGCACTTCATTGGATTCACCACACAAAACTATTTGGGAAGTTTCATGTCAGAGTTTATATTTCTCTAGCCAATCATTGGATGCTTAGAAAACTGCAACCCTAAATTCTTGTGAGATCCTTTTAGCATTTTCTTGTAAACTCGTCCCAGAAATTCACGCGTTAGCTGTCCTTATTTGCTTGAATCAGTGCTGCATGGCCTCATTGACTTCAGCTTGTGAAGTTTGCCACCACATCCGCTGTAGATCTCCTCTTTCATTAGCCTTTCTCCAAGTACTCGTGTTTATCTCTTTGGATATTACTAACACCACAAATGCTCCGCCGTCTTTTTTGGCTACTGCTTTCCAGAAAATGTAGCAGTCTAATCTTCTCCTTCATAGTCAACTCTGAGGTCTTCGGACCCTAATGTTGAATTACTCTTAATGACAGATCCTTAGTTGTTCAAAGCACTTTCCAACAATCTTTTGATGCTCTTGCCCTCGCAGTGGATAATAAACGGCGCCCTATCTGCTGTATCAAGCAGGGTGGATAGGGATTTGGATGCTACTACTCAGGCCTTCCTGTCTTCTTTATCACCCTTGCGCTTTTTCATCCTTATCGTCCTGCTCCAATTTTACTTTTCTCGCCTCCCCCGCATTTTCAATCCCCCAGTTCTTGTCCCTCCCTCTTCTTGCTTGATTGGTCGCTTATCTTCTACTTTCAACTCACACAGGATCGCAGGGCGTTGCCCCAATCCAGTCGACAAGTCCATGTTCAACCCAGCGGATGTCAGTTCATCCGTTTCCGTTTGGAGCCCTCGATCCTTATTAAGACGGGCATGCCTCAATGTGCGATTTTGCTACAGATTGGCCAACAGGCAGCATTTGCCCGAACACTCGCGACCCTATCGATCGATATTTGCTGTTTATCTGAAACCAGCCTGCAAGGTTCGACTTTCGTGCTTACTCTGCGATCCCCCACATTCGACACTGGCGTCACATTCTCATTGTGCCTCTCTGGTGATAACGCCGCATAAAATGTCGGTCAACCTGGCGTCGACATTGTTTTGAGTCCCCAGGCTGAAGCTGCCCCCGATCGACTGGATCGCTGTCAACAGCCGGATGTGCGCCGTTAAGTTGGCTGGCTCTTTCCAGGTTTCGAAGTCACTCGGTGACAAACGGTGCCTGTTTGTCCTTGCGGCTTACGCCCCCCACAAACTGCAGCCCTGATTCGGTGAAAGCTGATTTCCATCATCAACTTAACGGTTTTCTTCGTTACAGAAGAAGCACGACTACTGTGGTGCTCGTTGGTGATCTAAACGCCTAAGTCGAAAAATTGTCCTCTGGTGAGTTTTATCTGGGCGGCCAACATGATGTAGGCTTCCGTAATGATAACCGTGTGCGGTTGCTACACCTTGCGTTAAGGTGCTCGTCTCGCGAGCACAAACTTTCGACACAGCACCTGCAGAAGCGTGACTTGCCGCCCACCAGCCTCGGACCAGCCATGTACGCAAATGGATCACATCGTGATTAGTTACCGCTGGAGAGGCTGCGACCAAAATTGTCGCTCGATATAGAGCACCAGACTGGACTCCGATCACTCTCTCGAGTGTGCCGACCTGCGGGTGCGTTGCGGTGAACGTCCGTAACGTCGCTGTGACCGCATTGACACCGGCCAGCTGGCGAAGCCTGATGTTTTGAATGCGTATCAAACTACGCTGGCAGCTGGGCTGAGTAAACGCTCGCTGAACACCGTCGAAGATCACTGGTCACATATTCATCAAACGTTACTATCAGCAGGTATGTCTTCATGTGGCAAATCAAATTGCCAACCTAGACATTGGGTCTTTATCAAGTCTCTGGAACTTATTTATGCTCGCCGACGTATTCCGACTGGAAGCGAATACAATGAGACTCACCAAAATCTCAGGGCAACACTACGTGCTAGCCTGAAGAGAGACTTCGAAACATAGTGATCTCATCGTGCATCGGAAATGTAACAGCCCCTTCCTTTGGTAAACATCGTAAGTTATTCCGTCTGATACGGGAAATAGGCAGCAGGAGATCTGGTGTTGGCGAGACAATACGCGATGAGAGTGGGCAGCCGATCCATAGCCTGTCAAAACGCTTGGAGCGTTGGGCTGGACACGGCAACAAATATGAGTGATCACTTTCTCTTTCGGGCATTGAGTGCCCTTCTCCTTGGGCCGTCTCCTTAGATCCGTCATCACGCGCCATCTCGTATTACACGAGAATAAAGAATTTATTTATTTAAGTTGAACGTGGGATCAGACTGTTGAAACTGCTGATCCAGATGGAATTCTCCCAGCTTTTTACAAATTCGGAGGACATGCTGTTACTACTGAAACTTTGGGAACAGGAAACTGTCCCGACGGACTGGAGCCGCTCCGTCGTACTCCCAATTCTCGGTGGTGCTCCCGTTCGGAATACGGCAGTCATAGACGGATCAATCTGATCTCAATTTTCTCCATATGCTCGCGTCTGTTCTTCTCCACAGACTGACTGACAGTCGTGAAAGCTAGATCCGTGAAGAGCAAGCCTGGCTTCGTCGAGGTCGAAGCTGTATCGACCACACCTTCACCTTACGTCAATTGTTGGAGCACCGCCATGTTCATTGCCGACCACCGTTGTCGTGTTTCTCGATGTCAGAGGGACTTTCGGTTCGGTGGATAGATGTGCCTTTTAAGACTATCTGCTGAGAAAAGGTGTGCGCGATACATATGTAAACATTACTACAGCGCTGTACACGCATAGTTCGTGCAGAGTGAGGCTTTATGGCAAACTGTCGCTACCCCTTATCTTTGCACGATAGCCAGCTGTTTGCGACGGTATGTTGTCTACACAAGGTGTAGGCGCCTTGGCCCTGAACGTTTGCTTAGGGCAATTACGTTTTCAGGTAAGTCCCTCTTCTCTCCCTCTTATTCTCCTTTATTTTATAGGTCATCGTGGTTGTATGGCAGTATTATTATTATTAGTAGTAGTAGTTGTAGTTGTAGTAGCCAACGATCTATCAACTAGACACAGAGCCAGCACAAAACCACGCATGGGACCGTCATAAATCTTGTGTCATGGTAGTTGCTGAGAAAATCACTTCAGCTAATATGCCGCAAGAGGAATGGAACATTTCGATAAAAAGTAGAACAAAGCATTTTTAGTTGGTTTTTCACACGCCGCTTTTGCTCTTTTTTGTCATTTTCAATATTACTAGTATTAAATATGTGAATGAATACAATGCTGTACACAATTCTTCCACTCATTCCGGTTGCGGGCCATACCTTCAAGAGTGCTAAGCCATTGGCACTCCTCATTTTTGGGTCCCCATCCTGGAAGACGTACAGATCCAACAGCGGCTAGACACGACATCAGTGATTTCATGTGCTGCCGCCAAGTGGAAGGCTGACCACCACGCGGTCGCTTCCAGCCAGGTCCTTGACGAGCGAATAGTGCGCGACGCGGTAAACGCTCAGGTGCCATGGCGCAACAAAACCAATTTATTGAAGGAAATACTTGCATTCCCCAAGATGCGACGTCGAACGTCATTACTATTAACTCGATATTGCCACCAAATACGAGCGATCCTCCTTAAGCAACCGTTTTCGAACGCAGAAAGACGACGCATGTCTTCCACGCGAATCGGCCAGGGTTCGCACTCATATAACAATACCGAGCGAACTGATGCACTGTAAAAGCGACCGTTTAGTGAGAATGCGACGACGCCACAAGTGCCTCAGATTGACAAATGCTGATCGAGCTTTAGCGATACGAAGAGAAACTTTGTTGGTAGTGCCATTAGCAGAAACACAGCTCCCAAGGTAAACGAAACTATCTACCTGTTCAAGTTGTGCACCTTCGCGAGTGAGCACGGGAGCAGGTGAAAGCTAATCCTTGAGCAGTACTTTACACTCCGATGGGGCGAAGCTCATGCCATACTTAGATTCTTCAACCGCCAAACGATCCAGAATGAGTTGCATACCCTGTGGATCGTCACCAAGTAAAGCGATATCAATAGCTTAATCTAAGTCGGTGGCTCGCTCACGCGGAAGAAGCTCTAGGCCAATATGTTGGAAACCTTTTAGAGCATTCGACAGAACGTCTTCGATTGCGAAGTGGAAGAGGAATAGGGACATAGGGCAGCCATGTCGCACACCGCTATTGACAGCGAATTGCGAGGAAAGCTTGCCATAGACCCTCACTCTGCCGGATGTATGAAGGTAAAGTGCTCGTAAGATGACGGTATATTTCTCTGGCACCCCGTTCTTTAGTAAGCAACGCCATAAAACCGGTCGATCAACGGAGTCAAAAGCGGCACGTATGTCTGGGAATGCAATGATAGTGGGCCTGTGATAAATGTGGCGATGTTCGAGGAGTTGGCGGAGCGTGAAGATTTGATCCACGCATCTGCAGCCAGGACGGAAACCAGCTTGTTCTTCACGGTAGTATGATTCACGTACTGGGGATAGCCTGAGAAGCAGAATGGATACCAATAGCTTAGAAGCAACCGAAATAAGACTAATCCCGCGATGATTTGTACATGAAGTGCGAGCATCTTTCTTGAAAATCCGGACAATAACCGATTCTCCCCAAGTGGAACGCACTTTCTCTTCATGCCAAATTTTTGCGAACAGCGCAATTAGCTGGTTAATGATCGCCGCACCGCCGTACTTGAAGAGCTCCAGGGGAAGTCCGTCTAGGCCGGCAGCCTTGAAGCGCTTCAAGAGTGGAATCTCGTGGCAGACATCCGCTTCGCTGGGCGGATACAGAGGGACGAGCCAGGGTGGACAACAACGTGTACTGCATGTACTGATGGATGGTGGAGGCCAGTTGAACTGCGAGTGAAAGTGCTCGGCCCAGCGGTCCATACGCTTTTGTTGGTTGGTGATCTGAGACTCATCCACCTCACAGATGACCTCACTGATACCAGGCTTCCTGAGGCCAGTGGACCGAATGAGTTGGAAAAGCCTGCGAGTGTTGCCAGAGAGGGCGGCAATCTCCATCTCCATAGCACGCTTAGGCCACCATGTCTCGCCATCCTTGCGTAGGCTTTGCTTGAGCAGCCGGTTGGCAGAACGGCGCCGGTCGTTGCAATCTGATTCTGCGTGGATATCTGCGGCGTTCGAACAGCTCCAGCGAACGAGAGAAGTTCTTCGCTCCAGCGAAGAACTCTCCGGAAATGGTCATCGCTTTCCGTATACAAGTCCATTGTTGTTCCACTTCCTGCGGTGAATTGCCACGGAATGTATATGCCAATGAAGACTGATAGCTCGTCTAGACAGAAGAATCGGTTAATTTGTTACATCAATTTTGCGGTGCTTCGTGTTTCGGGATCCTCCAAAAGGTAGATTTTCACGCAGACCAGAGCATGGTCTGAGTCGAGGAAGGTGGACCAAAAGGACCTGTAGTCCAGTACAATGCCGCGTCATCTGAAGCTAATTGCAATGTGATCAATTTGAGACTACGGTTGTGTTGAAGAAGGGGGACATCACGTTGCGGAACGCTTCTTCGTATTCCTAAACTTAGTGCTCGAAAGACACAGATGGTTTTCTTCGCACAATGTGAGAAGCCTCTCCGTTATCAGAGTGGTTCTCATCGAGCGCGTGTTGGTCACCAAGGTGGCGTTCGTATGGTAACAGGCGGCCAACTCGTGCATTAAAATCTTCAGCGAGGATAACGACATCCGACTTTTTACCATTAGTCAAAAGCTGTTGTAGATCCCGGTAGAATTCGTCCTTAACCCAGCCACAACTGCAATCATTTGGAGCGTACTCAGAGATCACATATAAGTTGTGTCTCTCTTCGCGGTGCCTGTTGATTCTACATGAACCCCGAAGCCGAACTACACATAGTCGGCTGTTAATCGGGAACCAGTCCAGTAGTGCCGCCTCGGCCTTGCCACTCAGTGCTATACTTACACCAGCCAGACCCGCTGAGGCTGCTACTGGATCTCAAGAAAGACGCAGGTGATATCTGGCTTCGAGGTCAGTGGGGGATGTCAATGCAAGCACAGTGCTGGGATCTTGCAATCGGGTTTCTGAAAGGCAGCAGACATCAACGTCTAGGGAATCTAGGGTGCGCGCTGGACCGGCTTACTGTCCATGAGTGTACGAACGTTGAAGCACGCCAGACGGAACGAGGATCGGGGACGAAGGAGAGCCATAGGTTGAACTTCTTGGTCTGCGGCGCAATCAGAATCACAGCCAGATTGTTGAGCACATGAATCGGGTAACGGAAAGTGAGGATTGTTACCAAACAAACAATTGGCGTGTGATGAAGTCGCGTGAAAGTGACTAACAGAAATAGCAGCTGATGAGCCAGTTGTAATACGGCCCATAGTTTTGCGAGAGGGCGTGATACTACCCGGTTGCCCAAGCCGAAGTAGGGAGTTGACTTAGGGGACTCCACCCCGAGCCTTTGGCTAAATAACCTACCCGCAAGGCAGCGGGGCGAATTTAGGGAATCGCGCCCACTGGGAGGCTTTGACTGAATGTTCAGTTCATGCGCCTTTGTTTGGTAACTTACCAAACAGGGGCCCAATACTCCCCATGAAGTCAGCACACCTGCTGGAATACAATGCCCCACGGAGGTGGAACATTGTCGCCGATCACTTTGCTGAAACGATGTACACCTGAACCACCCAGCTGACACCACGCGGTAGTTTGGCAAGCCACCAGCAGCGAACCATCAGTTCAAACGGCTGATGTACTGCTGTTGTTGATTGATTACCTGACCCTTCAATATTTCCATCGGTGTGGGACAAGGTTTCCCGGTGTCACCTTTCCTCTTTAAGTTCACTATTTATGAAGTCATGAAAACAGCGTTCACTGGACACGACCTAGAAGATGTGGATCTGTTCTCGGGAGAGCAACTTCTTTACTTGGAATATTCGGACGACATTGCCCTTCTATGTAACAGCGCCCCAACATGCCAGGCTGCACTGAACTGATTAGCACCGACTGTCAATCGTTTTGGGCTATGCTTTGCTTCATCGAAATGCAAAATGCTTTTCCAAGATAAACAGCGTACCACCCTTATGCTGATCCTTGTTGGTTGTCATTTAGAAGTCTTTCAGGAATACAAGTACCTGGGCAGCTATATTAGCGACCGTGGGATCGAAGCTGAGGTTACGAACCATATAGCAAAAGCTTGAGGTGCTCTTGCCAATCACCGCTACCTGTGGCGCAGCCGTCCGTTCAACCGTTGTGAAACCTGGCCCATCTGGTCGACAGACATAGAGAGGCTCTTCACGTTCGATCATCGCTGTCTTCGCAGCTTAGCTCATGTCTGGTGGGAGCAACGCGTGAGCAATGAGCGTATTTGGTGCGGGAAGACCATTATATCACGCACCAGGCTCCGTTGGCCGGGTCGCGTGTTGCGCATGTCGGCACTCCGACTCCTGTGACGTGCATGTTTGCACGCCAGGGGGGATGGTTGATCGAGGATGAGAGGAGGCCCTGCGATGACTTGGTCGAGAGAAATGAAAAGCCTCACTATGAAGTTGGCGTCGGTTGATGCATCCCGACTGCCTGGGTGTGGTCCCAAGGACGATGAAAATGTTTGGTTAGACACACTTGCTGTTATGGCTAGGAGCCGGCCCCATTGACTTTTGTGTTGTGAGTTCCTTTGTCCTTCCTGACCCTTGCTTATCCTCCCCTCTAGTCACGATCTAATTCATTAGGCATAATATAATTCTCCTTTTGCGGCTGTTAACTCTCCGGAACGATGCCCATCCGTGACTGAGGACTCAGCCGGCTTGCCTGTCTCGTTTTTTCTTATCCTTTATAGTGCGGCACAATAGCTGAGGTGTTTTACATCTGTAGCTAACATGTATAATGACGATGATCAAAGCACGGGGTTGATCTATGGTGTACTGTTTTATTTACGTAACATTAATTACCTACAACAATTAACCTCAGTTGGTTTCACTCCCAGGCCGAAACCAAATAGCGCCGGGTAAATGCTCGACAATTGCTCTGGGTCTAAACATCAATCTCGCTGCAATCCAAGTTACTAACGAACCGTGCTTTTGTCAAATGAATTCTAGCTCACTTCTGCACTTGTCTGCCTACTGTTATGGGTTTTTTGGACATGACCTCATGACATCATCCCATATACGTTTTACAGTTTTCCGATCTAAACCATCGACCGTCCTCGATTTGCGCTTGAAGCTTAAGGACGCGTTCGCTCGGAAGGATGTGGATGGTGAGTTTGCCATGTATTACGACGTTTTGCCATTGTTGCTGCTTTCTTGTCAAAGTATTGATTTTCTTACTTCCGTCCTCGATACAAAGGACTGAGCTCCTCTCTGCATGAAATGCATACATCCGATTGTGTTCGCTTCTCCACCGCATCACTTGTTCTCTGTTTTTTAGCCGTGTTTGCTACTGTGAAAGCACATCCCACAGACGCGAGAGACACAATGTGCAATTATATCACTCAGGAGTTGCTCCGATTGGGTCTCTCCCCCGCCGAGATTATTGACCGTTTGCAAGTAGGTTTTATCCTTCTTTTTTGCCAAAACAGTAGATTCTCTGCTTCATTATGCTGTCTTTTTACTTGTCTCCTACTTATTGTGCATCATTGCTTTTTTATACGTTCAACTTTCTCGTTTGAATTTCCTCCACTAGGAGGTTATATACCGTCCCGAGGTAACTGTCACATCATGTGCCCTTTCTTTCCATGTGCACACCCCGACCAGTATGCTTACTGTCATTATAAGCGCAGTGTGGTTTCTGGCGGAAACATTTTCTTCAGCATTTCGTTCCATCTGAATCTCGAGGAGCGCGCGCAGGCTATATTGACCAAATCCTTACATTACTCTAATTGATGAAACTCTGCCACATTTATTGGCGACCAACTGCGTTCTTGTTTCTCGACGTCAAAGGTGCTTTCGATTCGGTGGATCGATGTGTTCTTTGTTACCGTCTGCTTAGGAAAGGTGTGCCCGAGCGTTGTACGCGTATAGTTCGGACTGAGTAAGTTTTTCTGACAAATTATCGCCTGTGTTTAATCTCTCCGGCGGCGTGAAACAAGGTTCCTCGCTGTCACATTCGTCATTGAGGAAGTCCTAGAAACGGTATTCATTGCACGCGGCTTGGAAGATGTGGAACAGCTCCCATGGGATCAACTTCATGACTTGAAATGCCCCGACGACATTACCCTAATCTGTAAAAGCTCTCAAACGTGTCAAGCATCTTTACATAAATTGGCATTGACTGTCAGTCGTCTCGGACTATACTTTGCATCCTCAAAACGCAAACTCCTCTAAGAATGTCATGGACCCACCCATGCACTAACCCTTGGTGGGAATCAGCCAGAAGTCATCTAAGAATTGTAGTATCTATATTGGCACCCGTGGAATAGCAGATGAGCTCACAAACTTGTGGCGCCGTCGCAGCATCATTCTTCTGAAGAGGAGTATTAACAATGTAGCCGTGCGTTTACCCCTCCTTTGCTGTTGCGAAACTTGTCCTGTCAGGTGGACAAACCTAAAGAGACTTGCTATTTTCGAACATCACTGTCTTTGCAATTTGGCTCAAATCTGATGATTACACTGCGTAAGCGATGAGATTATTCAGCCTCGGTGCAGGAAGTGCGTGTGAGCCGCTCAGCATCTATATATCACGCACTATGCTCCGATGGCTTGGTCACGTGTTGCACATACCAGCACACCGACTCCCGCGCCGTGCATTGTTTTAGCGCTACCTGGGGGTGTGAATGGAAGAATAGGAAGGAGGCCAAATAATGTATTAATCATGAATAGTGGAGACTCTCACTTCGCATTAAGCGTTTGTTCGTGTCTTCCGAGGACCGGGCTACGGTCCCAAGGACGATGAACACAGTTACTTGGATACATTTGTTAACATGGCGCAAAACCGAACTCAGTCCCGTTGCCTATCTTACTCTTCTAATAACCATCACACAATTCATGGATAACATGATACTTAGCATTATATTGTTTTTTGGTTTCTTCTGTTCTGCAACGTTAGGTATCTCGCTTTTTCTTGTCTTATCTTTTTTATTGCGGCGCGACAGCTAACCTCTAATGATGATGATGACGATCTGAACGTCAACTCTTCGCAACACGTGCTTTTGCGTCCATATATATATATATATATATATATATATATATATATATATATATATATATATGCTGAGGCTGATGTTGCATTCATGATGCTTTTTCACCGCAGCTGAGCTAAATCAGCTTCCACTTAAACTAGGTCTTTTTAAGCTGGATAAATTTCATTCCACTTTATTTGGTTTGTTCTGCCTATCTGACTGATCTTCTGCTGACTGGCCATGTTGTTTACGTTAATTGTGGTTGTCTTCCTTAATTACGTTTGTAGCATTTTTTACGTAACTTCTGGACATTTTGTACTTATCGCGGATTCGTTGCTAACCAACTTTCTTCATATGCTAATTTGGGGGAGAGTTATATCTGCATAGCCGTATTCTTTAACAGATTTGTTTTAATTGAGAGATTATTCCTGGAGATGATATCAGAAACAGAAAGTAGCCAACAAGCTTGTTTTCAGGGCTTCATCACCAGTCCAATACAACCACAATAAAGCAAGCTAAAATAGACACAATGGGTTTAAATTGGATCACTTTAGCAGAGTAACTAATCGATAAATCTACGTTTTTGGCCCGATTGAGGCGAGGTCAAGTGATGTGGCGTGACTGCCATTGTTAGTCGCGCTGATCTGAGGCCAAGACAAGGTTAAAGTGTGGACGAGTTTTTTCCTGTGCACATAGGTCCGGGTTGTAGAGCCGAATTGCGATCGCCTCTGCTGTCGACAGCAGGCGATCTCTGACTGCCCGTGTGTAACGTCCGGGGACACAATAGATCGGTGTGAATGCGTCACGCGAATCGATTTGATGATCGGAGTCAACTAGGTGCGTCAATACTGCACTCGTTACATTCTTCCTCGCGCCGCTGTAGAACCAAGCTGGGCAATGCTGGTCGTTTTCCCAATATACCTTGCTCGACGCGAGCAAGAGAAATTGTACACACAGAAGAAGGTCTGCGACCAAGATATCCTGTCTTTAAGTTGCCGCACAATCGGGGTTGTAGTGGAGCTTACGTGGGGATTAGCGGCAAAATACGTTCTCTCTGTTGCTAAGGAAAGTCTTCGGGCGGTCCATTCCGCTATCGCGTCACCCTTAAATGGTAGCGATAAGTATATCATCCGGTTCTTCACGGAAACGGCTTTATTCTTTTGTACTCGCGGTTCCATGTGCCTCAGGATGAATTTCTTAGGGTAACCATTACGCTCGAGTACGTTTCGTATAAAGCTCAGCTCATCTGAAAGCGTATCATCTGTACATTTTCTCCTCGCTCTCTCCGTTAGGCAACGGACAAGGTTCCTTTTCTGACTTATGGGAACAAAACTAGTGAAATGGATGTACTACCCATTCCAATATGTTTTTCTGTGCACCCTCTTCCCCATTGACCCGTCTGATGCCCTGTTGATTTGGACATCTAAAAATGCCAACGATTCAATAGTGAAACTTATGTTGCTATGTGCAGTATTAAACTGGGCCAATAGATCATCGATCCGCGTAAGGGTGGGCGTCCTCGCGGTATACTCAGCCCGCGCGCGACTGCCGGTGCTCGCGCGGCAGCGAAGTGCCGTTACGGCGTTCAGCTGACACATTTTTATTTTTATTTAATAGATCATCGACGCACATTCCATTATCCGCAATACAAAATATGTCGTCTACATATCGACCGTAATTAACCAAGCTGTTGATGGATTCGTTCAGCTGGTTGCACTCCAATATATATATATATATATATATATATATATATATATATATATATATGCCCCATGCTGAGGCTGATGTTACATTCTTGACGCTTCTTCACCGCAGTTGGGCTAAACCAACTTACACTTAAACTAGTACTTTTTAAGCTGACTAAATTTCATTCCACTTTATTTGGTTTGTTCTGCCCACCTGAATACTCTTCTACTAACTGGCCACGTCGCTCACGTTAATTGCGCATATCTTCGGTAACTTTGTAACGCTATGTAGCATTTTTAACTAACTTGTGGACATTTTTTCCTTATCGCGCATTCGTTGCTAACCCACTTACTTCATAAGCTAAATTAGGGAAGAGTTATGCCACCGTATCTGTATGCATTATTGGATTTATTTTATTTCAGCTTATCGTTTAAAGTGAATGGCTGTTGCTTGATATCCCCGGTGGGGCTGCGCTTGATGTGCATGTTGACAAGGTGCCTACCTGTCTATTACCCACTACATCGTTCATACTGGTTCCAGGAGACAGTTGGTCGTTGCTGGAGGGGACAGGGTGCACGTTCCTTGTGGTCGTGCTAGGCTCAAAGAGTGGTTCCATGCACTGAAAGTGGAGCGGACTACGGTCTAGCAACCGCCTTGTGTACGGTTGATTCCTCAAATACAGTGTGCTTGTGTTTGTCTGTGAAGGAGTGTGGGCCGGCTCCGTTGATGAAACGTGGCTCCCATCCACATGCCTCCCGGTCTTATTCCTTCGGGTTTACACTGGATATGGGGTATGTGGTTGGAGCCTTGGGTGGTGCAGCGCAAGCCACCCATGGTCCCTCTGTAGGCGCAGGCGTCCTGTGGCTGCCCACAGTGACAATGATGTATATATATATATATATATATATATATATATATATATATATATATGTATATATATATATATATATATATATATATATATATATATATATATATAGGGCTGGGAATGGTCAAAGAGACTCACCGCATAAACGTCACTGAGGTCGGCTCCTAGCCATCTCAGCAAGTGTATCTAGCCAAACGTGTTCATCGTCTTTTGGACCCAAAGCAGTGAGTTCTGTCGCTCCAATTGAGGCCAACTCCGAAGTGAGAGTCCATTCCTCTGGTCCAAGTCATCGCTTGGCCACTTCTCCTCTTCTTCGATCCACACCTCCGGTGAGCAAACAACGCACGTCGCGGAAGTCAGTGGGCTGGCATGCGCAGCACGTGGGCCAGCCATCGGAGCCCGGTGCGTGAAATGACGGTGCTGCGCGATTCAGGGCCTTTTTCTGTGCCGTAAACAAGGCGTTGAACACGCTCGTTACTCACGCGATATTCCCACCAGATGTGAGCCAAACTGCGAAGGCACCGGTGGTCGAACGTAACTAGCCTCTTCAGGTCCGCTGATCTTAGGGGCCAGGTTTCGCAACCGTGCAGTAAGTTCGAACGTACGGTTGCATTGTACACTCTATTCTTCAGGGCAAGGGTGATGTCGCGCCGCCGCCATAGGTGGCGAAGGTTAGCACAAGCACTTCGAGCTTTTGCTATACAGTTCGTGATCTCATCTTCAATCCCGCGGGCGCTGATACAACTTCCCATGTAGTTGAATTTTTGAACGACTTCTAGCTGATCTCCACCAACGGTCAGCGTAGGTGGCAGTCCAGGCCGATCTTGGAGGAACGCTTTACACTTCGATGGTGCAAAGCAAAGCCCGAAGCGGCTGACAGCCAGTACTAATCTGTCCAGCGCGGCTTGGCACGTCTGGGAGCTGTCACAGATGAGGGCAATGTCGTCTGCATACTCCAAGTCAAGAAGTCGTTCTCCTGGGAGTAGCTCCACACCTTCCAAGTCATGTCCTGTAAATGCAACCTCAATGACTTCGTCAATAGCGAAGTTGAAGAGGAAAGGTGACTGCGGGCATCCTTGCCTCACACCGCTGGAGATATTGAAGGGTGGCGACCGCTTGCCGTAAGCCCTCACTCTGCCCGAGCTACGCGCGTATAACGCTCGAATAATGTTTACATACTTCTCAGGCACACCTTTCCTGAGTAGACAATTCCAAAGGGCACATCAATCAACCGAATCGAAGACAGCTTTGATGTCGAGGAATACGACTACGGTGGGTTACCAATATGTGTGATGGTGCTCCAACAACTGAAGGTGGTCGATGCAGCCACGACCCCGACGAAACCCGACTTGCTCCTCACGAATCTGGCTTTCACGAGCGCCAGTCAGTCTGTGAAGGATTTTGGAGGCGATGGAGATCAGACTGATTCCTCTATGGTTGACGCATTCCGAGCGCGAGCTTCCTTTGTAGATGGGAACAATAACGGAGCGGCTCCAGTAGGTTGGGACAGTCTCCTGCTCCCACAGTTTCACTAGCAACTGATGTAAATCATCAACAAGAGCAGATTTCCCGAAGTTGAAGAGGACTGGATGAAGATCATCTGGTGCCGCGGCTTTGTTCAACTTCAACAGTTCGATTTCTGAGCGAGAGGGTGGATCCAAAGGGACAGCCCACGGAGCAGGGCGATCACTGGCCGGCAAGGAATCGAACAATCTTGGCCGATTAAATTGCTTTTCACAACTGTGTCCGTACTTCTTCTGTGTATCGAAGTAGCTGGGTCACTTGGCGGTAGCAGTCGTTCTTTACCGTATTATCGCTACAGTTTGCGAGTGCGTAGGCAGCGATGATGAGTAGACACCTGTTAGTCCCGCACGACTTCGAAGCTTTGAACGAGCCAGCTAATCGGGCCTCATACATTCGGCTATAGATTAGAATCCAGTCAACCAGAGTAGCTTCATCCCGGGGACTTAGGGCAATACCAATACCAGCTTGACCTGTGCTTGAAGCTGTGTCGTCAGCTGATAGACGCAATGAGAAAATATTGCTTGCGTCACCTGAAGCGGATCGTAGAGTGAGCATAGAGCTCGAGTCTTGCAGGCGGATCTCCGAGAAGCAGCGGATGTCGATCGAGAGGGTCTCTAATGTTCGGGCAAATGCTGCCTGTTGACCGATCTGTGGCTGTGTGCCAACATTTAGGCATGCCAATCTGAAGGATGATCGAGGGCTCCAAATGGAAGCCGATGAACCGGAATGGACCGCTTGTTTGGACCTGAGCTTGTCGACAGGGGAGGAGTGACGCTCCGCTTTGGCATGAGTTGCAATTAAAGGATAAACACCTAGCAAAGCATGTTGGAGGAGGGCCAAATATCGGGGGGTTGAAAACTGGGGGGATATAAGTGAAGTTGGAACGGGACGGTAAGAGTGAAAATGTGTAAGAGGGGGGAATAAGAAGACGGGAAGACTTGAGCAGTGGCATCCAAACCCCTATCCACCCTGCTCGATGCAGCAGATAGGGCACCGTTGATTATCCTCAGCGGTGGCCATGGCCTCAGCAATTTGTTTGAAGAGAGATTCATTTTATTGCGGGGGAAGGATAATGTCAGGTTGCCCTGGCCTGGACAGGAGAACGATAAGGGTTCTCAACCAAAGCGTTTGGTTCAAATACCTGACCGCAAAGCAGCAGGTTTGCCGTTGGGCTACAAGGAGTCCGATATAAGAAATAAGGTGCCACTTTCATTCCATCCCCCAAACTGGAGGACCAGGAGGCTGAGTTTGTCTGGCCTCCAACCATTGACAAATCTGCTATGAGTGACTCTAAAGGTGTAAAAGCACCACACATCATAGCTCAGTGGATCACTGAGGCACACAAACCATCGCACCAAGGTAAGGTCCTGCCTCATTTCAATGGTCAGCTTGTGTTAAACCGTGCAGTTTAACCATTTCGACCATACTGCATCCTGCAGGTACAGTAGCACACCTTACTGACGCGTCACATCCTACACTTTCTCGACTGATGGCCTGATGGTTGAATTCAGAAGCTTTATGGTATTATTAATATTAGACGTAAAATATATAGGTGATATTCGTCAAGCTACCTTCTCGATCGTCGCTGTGTTGGAGCCGTTTGGAACTCCTTCGCTAACGGTATTGCTGTCCACACCTTCTAGCCTTGAATACGTTAATGAAGGGGCACGTCATTCGATTACTGATTTTCGCACACGGTTTAAGTCTTCACTAATATCTGAATCCCGACTCAACTACTGCTTCTATCCTTGTACTCAGACGCAGGTTCGGAGCTCCAATGACATTGTCGACTGTACTTCGCATGCTGTTATACTACCGACTTGATGATCCCCACGCTACAGCTATCACGGGGGTTACTATGATTGTTCGACGCTTAGTTACAGATGTGAACTTTCTCTTGCGTCCGTCCTCTATTCTTCTACAGTTACAGTAATAATATCGAGGGCTCCAATGACGCATTTGCCGTCGTCCTCTGGTCGCTGTGCCCGTTCAGCGTGTATCTGGTGCGGTATTTTTCGTCTGGTAGGGTTGATTATAGTTTAGGATTACCAGCTCCGCAAGAAATATCTTCCATCAATGTCGCCCTGTTTGCACGCGATAGTCCTTTTTTGCAATCTTGTGTGTTGTTGACAAAGTGCGCACGCCTTAATCATATATTTTCTACTTTGGGCATTTCGGTTTTACACCAGTTTCCCTTTCTTCGATCTTTTTATTTGTCGCTACTTAACTCATCATACTAGAGTGTTGGTGAAATATCATTTCAACCTAATGATGTAGTACTGCTCGTGATGCATTCCGCTTCAATCTACATGTTCTGTCTGATGCAAGATTTACTGGCCGTCACCTCATTATTTTCCCACATCTCCCAAACACCATACTTTTCTCTTCGCAGTCTCCATCGTTGAAAAGTTGTGCCGCATTTGGATCTGTGTTGGCCAGCCTCTCGGCTGATTCGACGAGGGACGAGTCGATTTCCGCTCATCTGGACACTGTTAGCTCTATGATATCTCAGTTCGTCCAGCAAGGCCATTTGCCTATGAAAGGTCCCATTTACTCACTGTATGCTGTCTCGCGCAAGATTGTAAGTCACGCGTATTACTTACCACTAGCCTAAGCAGTTTGATGCTTTTCTCTTCTGCTATGGTCTGAACTAGTATACTGTTTTCAATGACACCCTTTTCTCGCACTCCCAGTATCGTCCATGGCATATTTAGCTATCACGCTCTCTTTATACTTAGAGTCTGTATTGCTACATTCACTCTCTGTCACTCGTCTTACTCGGACACTGACGTAGTGCATCAATCTTTTGTTTCGGCCATGCCTACAGCTTATGATCTACATGCATTTATTGATGGTTGGGCCCTTACATATTCGTCACCGAGTAACGACCGATAATTGGGTAACACCTACCACGAGTATGTATCGCATATTTAGCAAAAATATACCCTTTTCTATTTCCGACTGCCACTGTTGGCCCAAAGGATCACTCGCTTGCCTTGTACTCCTGAGGTCATCGCTGTTGGAATCCGGGTCGTTACGGGCGACTTCGGGGTTTACCCCAAGTCCACGCACGACCGGTCCTGGTTGCCTGGCAGCGAAGCATCGGTACGGCGGGTTGGCGTACTGCTGATACCTTCTACTTTCTAATCCAGTTCTGAAACGTTTCCCTTGTCTGATTCCCGCGCCAGTGCTTCTATTCATACACAGCCATCATATACCTATCATTGTGGTACCAAGTGGTACAGGTAACAGCGAAGATACTCCTTTCATTGGATTTGCTACCTGAATATTGACTTTTTTGCGGACTGATATTTTCCGCGTCTTTTGTAACCACTTGCTGGAGAGTATGGCAACTAGTCGGTCTTATATCCCCATATTCTCCACTCTCCTTGTCTGCAGTTGGATTGATTTTCGCCCAGCAACCACACTCTGCACACAAACTTTGTTGTACTTCCGTACAGTGTAATGACACTGCACCAAAAAAATTCATTTTCTCCAACAGAAATGCTAATATCCATATCTTATAGAATACACTCCACTTATCATGGAAATGTATTCCGATCTTACCTAGCACATCAGGTTACATTGCTATAAGCAACTGATTATTTTCAGTAATGTCAAGGCTACCTCGTACGAATTATATGTAAATGTACTGAATCGCGACATATACAGAATGCATCTATGTGGCAAATACGTTTAAAACATCACTGCAACGCTCGTCGCTAACTGCTGGCTGCAGCTTGACACTGGGAAATGATGACTTCGCCGAGATCGTCGTTTGTATGATCCAGCGCCATCACGCTGTAGAAACCAGCAAAAGTCACCCATCATAGAAGGCGTGTACTTGCCACTATGGCGCTGCTCCATGAATGAAATGTCTTGGAGAAAGCGCTCACCATACTCATCACTAACAGATCCAAAATCCTCAGGGAAAAAATCAAAGTGATTATGCAAAATGTGCATCTTTTGTGACATTCGAGCCCGATAGTTTGCAAAGAGCTTTTTTGTAATATATTTGTAGTTCTCTGCCTTTGTTCTGCCCAAAAGTCCTATACACACTGTATTTAATGGTCGCCACGCTTCTAACTCAAACGAAGTCAACTGGTATTCGAAAGCACTGTCTGCCATTATCAGGCGAATATCAAGCCCAATAAGTATCCGTTCTTTGAGCTTCCCATCATTGATATTCGGAAACACTTGTTTCAGGTACCGGAACGCAAAACCATCTTGTTGAAAGGCTTAGACGACGTTTTTAATCAAACAACGCTTGATGTGCAGGGGTGGTAGATAGGTATGATCAGGTTGCACAAGAGGTGTATGCTTTACACTCATTTTCCCTGCAGCATACTCCGTCCTCTCTGGCCACTTTTCGCTTGTGTAGTGCTGCTCAGTTGCTCTACTGTCCCATAAGCACAATAAACAGCAATATTTTGTGAAGCCTCCTTGCATACCCATTAGGAGTCCAATGACTTTGAAGTCAGCACAGATGTTCCAACCATACTTATCGTTGTTCAGTGCAGCGAGTATCTGTTGCATACTTTCATATAAGTGGCATGCAACAGAGGCAGAGTTGGGTACACATTCCTTTCATGGAGCAGTTTAGCTTTAAGACTACTCTTGGACGAGTCAGTGAACAAACACCATTCATCACTGATACGCCTGTCACCAAGCTCATTCATCAGTCCTTCCACGTCGGAACAATAACAAAATCTTTCTCTCGTATCATAGAAACTGGACAGTTTAACACTTCGCTTTTGGTATACAGTGTTTTCAGCAAGTGCCACTGCGATATAGAGCCAAATGTTGGTAGCTCAGGTTGTTCAGTTGGTTGTCTGAGTGTTCGCTGAGCTCGGCAGGTTGACTGCAAACGTTTCGTCACCACTCGAGGTGACATCGTCAGTGCGCGTGTATTTAGCAAAGTGGCGCGTACGGAGCGTCAGTGCTGCATTTGTGATGCCAGGAACTCAGCCTTGTCTTTAGGACTGATAATTACCAGTCCAACAAAGTTCCATCAGGCTTCACTGCACTGTCCACAAATTTGGTTGTCACGAGAATAAGGCAATCTAGAGCTTTTGATCCCAATTATTACCTCCGTAGGTTCTAATTCTAGAAGCCAGCCGCGAAGGAAGCTTCTTTCATATCTCACTTTCTCATCACCTCATCCTCCAGTCCAAAATAAAACAGTAACTCTTTATCTCCAACACTTCGTTTACATCTTCGAGAATCGCTTAACGCACGAGTCAGTTTTCTCCAAAGCACTGCACACACTACACACTTTTTCATTCTGGTTTTAACAAGTGTACGTCATATTTCTTTCAGCAAGCTATGCACCAGTCTGCTCAAAGACTATCGCGACCCTTCATGGCTACTGCATTTATGAACTTAGACTGATTTACACTTCGTTTGAAACCGCATCCACCATGGGCTTTTGGTCATACCCCCTGTTTAACCAGAGTTTTGCAACATCGCGGACATCTGTTTGCGGACATTCATCCCCATTTAACATTACTGGAGCATTGGTGACAGGTCGCTGTTCTCCTTTTTCTTCTCGCTATCATTGTGCGCTTCCATCAAAACCAATCTTTGTCTGTTGCCTCCGTTTACGATTCTTTTAAGCCATCCATCTGTCGTGTGGTTTTTTTGAACTTTGAAACGCCCATCTGCCATTGTTTGTTGCCCCTGTTTCAGCTTCAGCGCGCGTTGGTCTCTGATTCCTCACCGGACCAGTACCTTTGTCATGTGTTGGATCTCCTCTCGTGTGCGTTATCTCCCAACCAACTCGCAACTGTTGTCGATCAAATGTTTGCTAGTATCTTACTGCATCGATTTGCCCCTTCGTCGGGTCTCAAACCGGCGCTTTCTGCCGATGATCTGAAGATGGTGCAAGCCCTAGTGAAAGCGTGTCTAACCAAGGTAATTTCATTTATTCTGATGACAGTTTTTGCGTTTTTTTCTACTCAATAAAGGCAGCCCATTATCTTATCTCCTTATCTTATATCTTTTACGATTTCTTACTTACCAGTGCTTTATTACTAATTTTCACATATTCTAACTAACTGCTTACTTTTCTCAATCTGATTTCCTTATCGGTTACATGTTTTTATTACTTTTTGCAGGGAATACAGTTTCCGCCCGATTCCTGGTTGTTCCACAGTTTAGAGAGTTGCGAACTAGACAAGGTTAGTTTACGATCGTTGTGATTACTGATTACTGGTTAGAAGAAGCGAGTACAGCTTGCTCTGTGTAACTGCATCAATCGTCGTTCATGGACATGTATCCGTTATGTTGTTTTCCGCTCCATATATTTTGCGTCGGCAAAGTGTTTGTCAAGGAACTTCTGAGTTTGTCTCTACTACGTGCTGCGGCAGGTCGTTCCATACATTCACCACTCTGCGTTCGAAACAGAGTTCCTGAGCGACCCTCTTCAAATCCGGTACGACAAGCTTATACCGGTGACCTCGTGTGCTGCTTGGTTTGCGCAGATGAAGCAGTGGTCTCATCATAGGGTAATCACCCAGATATGACGTCCAGTGAGTCATGATGAGCCACAATGCCTCGCGGTTCACCGTATCAAATGCTTTGGTGAAATCAACAAAAAGCGAGTACAATGGTTGGTGTCATTCTCTGCACTTCTGCAACTGACGAGCCGCACACACCATATCTATAGTGCTGCGACCCGAACGGAATCCACATTGCTCTTCCGCCACGTTAGGTTCCACAACCTGGCTGACGAGGCGGTTGAGCAGGATTCGGGCAATCACCTTGCCCACACAACTCAGTAAGTTGATGCCACGATAATTCGTGCAACATTGCTTGCTACCTTTACCCTTGTACAGTGGTAGCACAAGGGCATCCTTCAGCTCAGGAGGCACCTCCTCCTCAATCCATACACATTGTACCAAGTGGTGCAGCGCGGTCAACAACGCGGGTCCACCGTGTTTCAATACTTCAGGCGGGATCCCTTCGGCTCCGGCACATTTGCCGTTTCGCAGCTGAGCAAGTGCTCTCTGCGTCTCATCCAGTGTCGGCGTGTCCACCAGACTCATCTTCACATTGTGCCGCTTCAGGCAGTTCAATGTAGGCCAGCCGATCTCTGAACGGTTGTTCAAGGGTCGGTCAAACTGTTTTCGCCTGATCTGCAGTCTGTGTGCAGGTAGCGCCTAAACTATCATCGATCAGCGTCCTCAGCGGCTTCAACCTCGGTCCATACACCGCTGACGTACGATGACAGTCGAGCAGGTGAGCGTGACCACAACGTGGGTGCGTCCAAGTTGCTATATCACTCGGACTCAGTGCAAACCGAGTGTTCGTGATCGTCAAGCCGTGAGTGGCACACAATGAGAGCAGCCTGTCACCGTTCGCATTCGCTGAACCAATGCCATGCGGACCGATAACATCTGTCCACACCAATGCATCACGCCCAACGCGCGCGTCGCAGTTACGCAGCAGAAATAGTCGGTCACTCCTCGTCGCAGACCGTATCACGGAGGATAGCTCAGTGTAGAATTGATCACGCTTGTCATCAGGATAACACATAGTCGGACGGGACGTGCTTATAAAAGTGGCAAACTTAACTCTTCCGAGTCGTAGTCTAACAGTCGTCCGTCGCGCGCTGATGCCCGTTGGTTTACCCACCAGCAGGTCATGGAGGCGTTCGGATATTGCAAATCCGACCCCATGATCACGTGGTGCTGAGGCGGCGTTGCCCACCCAGTAAAATGTGTAGCCAGCACCTGCTTCATGCAACTTACCTTGCTCAGCGAGCCGGGTTTCACTGAGCGCCGCAATATCGATGTTGTAGCGCGCCAGTTTCATCGCGACCAGTGCAGTGCGTCGCTTTGGGCGCTCGTTGGAGTTCCGGTCCAGTAGTATGCGCCCGTTCCAGCACCCGATGCTAAGTGCTTTGCGCGCAGGCATACAATTGCATTTGTGGGCAATCGCACGCGAGGTGGTCGTTTGTGCTTCGAAGTTTTGCTTGAGGGACTTCACCCGGAACCTTTGGCTCAATAGCCTTACCCACAAGGCAGTGGGTGGTTTGGAGGGTTTCTTGAGGGACTCCGCCCGGAGCCTTTGGCTCAATAGCCTGACCCGCAAGGCAGTGGGGAGCAGATCCAGCTGGGGAATGTGATTGCAGACAGATTGGGATCTGCTTGACGGTCGTCGCACGCAGCCTTTGAGGTACTGGAACGATTATCATATGTTTTGCGACCGTAGTAGGATAGGCACCTGGGACCACGGCCAGACGCAGGTGGGTCTTTGGCGGGTTTGCACCAATTTGACCAGGGGCTGCCTGGCTTGAGGCGGGCAGTAGCAAACCATTGAACACCCGGAGGTGTTCTCCCACCGTCAGAGAAAATTCGTGGCGCTCGTGCTCTACGCCAATCGAGCTGTGAGCTTATAACCCGTAGACCTGTTGTCTCCCATGGCTAGGTTTTACTGGAAGAGAGCCATTGATCACTTCCTAACCTCCGAAGAGGATGGACTAGGATACTGCCAGAGCGCCAACATCTGACAGGAGAACGACTCAGGTCCTCAGCCAAAGCCTTCGATTAAATGAACACCCGAAAGGCAGCTGGTCTAGCACATGGTCAGTTCACTGACTCATGCGGATTGGTGTCCTGGAGAAGGGCGAAACCCAACTCCCACCCAGCGGTCGCCACGAGGAGGCGCCTAGGACATGAGCAAATGGCACAACAGTAGCAGCAGTGGTGGACCATCTGTCAGGATCTAGCCACCACCAGCCTCAGCGCACCATAGGCTCTCCCGCCATATATATATATATATATATATATATATATATATTCAACACTATACCATTTACAATATAATTGGCTGTGTGCCATAACACATAACAAAAAAAGAATGCATGAAAGAGAAGACGACTTTTAGGATAGAAGCGTCGTCTCACAGCAAGTGCGCCATTGCTTACGGTCCTTGGCCATTTCCTCCAGCGTTTGAAACAAGGTGTGCTTGGGGTCCTTTGGTCCCCTACCCGGGAGTCGGTAATGCCCTATAACCGCCAGCTTCTTCAGTTGCTCATTTGTTCGCCGAGCTTCATCGTTTGCGCCTTAACACTTTGGATCCAACTTTTACATTGCCCTCCTTTTCGTCGCTTCCAAGCCACGCATGTGCTCCCAAATAGGGATTGTCTTGCTAGCCGCTGGGTTGGCATGCGAAACACATGGCCCAGCCAGCGAAGTCTCTACATTGTGATGATGCTATCAATCGATCGGCGGAGTTCATTAGATCTGAAGGTTCACCGACGGATTTCCTCATTATTGATATGATCCTGCCATCGAACACCAGCAATGCTTCGCAGGTAGCGGTGATCGAAGTCTGATAGCCGCTGAACATCGCTTTTGCGAACGGGCCGTCACACAGCCGTACAGCAGAATCGCTCGTACCGTAGGATTATAGACTCGTCCCTTGCGTGCGAGGCTGAGATCACGATGAAGCTACAGGTGTCGAAGGTTCGCGAAAGCGACTCTAGTCTAGGAGACACGCAGAGAGATCTCATCTGTCCCACCTCCAATGCTAAGACAACTCCCAATGTGAATTTGTCGACCACTTCCAACGGGTGCCACGAAAGGGTGAGAGAAGGACATGCCTATCGTACCAAATGACGGTGACGACTGTGAATTAGTTCACCGTCATTTTCACGTAAAACCTCACTCACTGTTGGTCTTCTGTCTCCCGTGGAGCGAATGAGTTCTGTTTGCGGGAGTTTGCTGATGAGGCTGCCCGCCCCATATTAACGACACGCTGTGTCCATCTAACCTCGCGATTCTTCCTGAGGAGCTTTCTTAGCTGAGCACCTTTGGTTCTGCCTAGTGCGTTGTACTCGATTTCGGCGGGAATTGTTCGACAACTTTCCATTAATTGGAGAGACTGTGTGGCGATCCAATGACTAACAGCTTGTCTAGTGAAGTCAAAGACCAGGATAGCGGAGTTTCCTAAGGCGCTCCGGATATGTGCCTAGTGTGTCTCAACTTCGGAGGATAGAGAACGTAGGTTGGAGGCTAATTGTCTGAAATGCGCCGAGAACATTTGGAACGGCGAGGTTGTCTGTGTCCAACCGTTTCTGGCGACGCTGTTGCGTGCCTCCAAAGCGCAGAACGAACTTAGCACACACGAGCGCATGATCCGAAGTCAGGTAAGTGTTCCATATTGACTTGCGGTCCGTTATGTAGCGTCGCCAGCGGTAACTAAACAGTGTGGTCAATTTGCGTCCAAGATTGACCAGGCGCCGGTAGTCGCCAGGTGGCTCGTTAGCGCCAGGAATGTCGGAAATTGGTGCTAGTGGGGAGCAAGCCGTGGTCGGCGCACACTTGCAGGAGTCGATCGCCGTTGTCGGTGCTGCAACTTCCGTGGCTGTGTTGACCCCAGTTTCACGCTCATGAACTAGTCTACCGCCCTGCGCATTGAGATTACTGATTAGTATCAAGATGTCCGTGTGGCGTTTCTTGCAGAGGTGGTCGATGAGTTGGCGGTCGAACTCGTCTTTAGCTTCGTCCGGGCTGCAGTCCGTTTGAAGGTATGCAGCCACAATGAATAAGCAGCGCCTACTGGTCCCGCGGCTAGACGATCGCGCTGAGCTTTCCAAGCGGACTGCACGAAGACTACTGTTGACCGGGAACCAGTCGTCGAGCGCTGCCTCAGCACGCGCGCTTAACGCAATACCTACGCCGGTGCAACTAGAGGCTGCCGCTGTCGTATCTCCAGATAAGCGCAAGGTGAATGTGCAATTGGAACTTGGGGGGGTGAGAGCAATTGCAGCGTTGTGCTGGAGTCTTGTAAACGGGTTTCGGTTGGGCAGCAAAGGTCGATTGAGAGGGTTTCCAAGGTTCGTACAAGAGCAGCTTGTGAACCAATCTGCATGAGCGTTCGAACATTGAACTTAGCTTGCTTGAAAAACAAGCGAGATGCAATAAAATCCTGCTGTTGGTTTTGCAATGTGTGCGATCGGTTTTGAGCGGTTTATTGAGGAGGCCAGAGGTACCGTTTTTTTGCGGTGCACTTTTGGAGACTCGCAATTGAGGGCGGGTTACCAAGAACATGAGAATTGTATAAACCTGGAACGAAGAACGTGGTTTGCGGTGCGGTAGAGTTAGGTATAACATGTCCGGCCGCCAGCACCCTGGCCAAAGTGAGAAACTTCAGAGAGTGAGAGACGTGAGCA